AGAATTACTTCACATGAACAGCTATTTCTATCACGTTTTGATAATCAGTCACACTGTGCAATCTCCCCACTTATTACAATAAAATAACATCCATCCATTTTCTTCCGCTTTATCCGGTGTTGGGTCGCAGGGGCAGCAGTCTCAGCAGAGACACCTCCTGCTCATTCGGTGGAATCCTGAAGCTGGAACAGGAGGCTGGACAAACGGCGGCTCTACTCCGAGCTCCTCATGTGCCCCTCACCCTATCTCTAAGGGAGCATCCAGTCACTCCGGTTTCCCTACCCCTTCCCTTTCCGGTTTTGGTTTTCCCACACTAGGTTAAATCCTCCAGCTCTGGTAGTCCTGACCAAGCCGAGCAGCAAGATCTGGAGATAGGTTCCTGGGCGCTGTTACTACGGTGACCACTGCCCCTGATGTAAGCCTTAGTGGCATCAGGATGGGTCAAATGGAGAGGATGAATTGCCTGTACGGGGATCAATAAAGTGCACCTTTTCCCTTTCCCTTTACCCTACTCTGCGGAGGACGCTCATTTTGACCCTTTGAATCTACAATCTCTTCCTTTCGGTCTTCACCCAAAGTCTAGGTCCAGAGTTGAGGATGGGAACATAGATTGACTAGTAAATCAAAAGCTCTACCTCTTCACCAGCAACCACAACACTGCACGGGTCTGTCTGTCAATATCACCCTCCATCCTTTCATTAGAATAACAATAAAGATTAAAGAATTCCAATTCAAGTTAAACTTAAAACCAATATAAGTGCTGTCGTCAATGAAAAATCTACATTGAAAATAAGTCGCCCGTTTTCATCATTCTCTCCTCCGCATATCACTTTCATGATTGTCCCCAATTTACATGTCTTCCCGGTCACTGCCCTCCTCACGCTGTGTCTCTGTCTACACCACATGACTCCATCTCCCATAATCCCTTTCTGCTGGTGACACATTTGCACTTGACCTTCGCACAGACGCAGCGGGAGTTTCCTCGTCAGCAACAGTTTGTCTGTGAGCCATACTTACTGTACTGTCAAGCCACGCGCTCCGTGACTGTAATAAGTTTATGGCTTAATGAAACGTCTGCGCCATGGTCTTATGAGCGCTGATGCATTCTGGGAAGGGATTTGCCCCGACTGTGATAATGACACATGCAGACGACTGTTGCTGATGTGGAGTTTTTGTGTTGACGTATCATATGGGATGAATGAAGATGATTACATGTTCTTAATGTGAGGACAATATTACAAACGCAACATTTAAAACTGTTAAAAACCCTGTTTTTACGATGTATCTCATTGAATATGTCCCTTTTCTATAACCCAATGGCATTAAACATATTGGTGACATTTATTTTATTATATTTAAATGGATGTCTCGCCCTCTCTCCACGGATCAGATGGGATAGGATACAAAACAGGGCTGTGGGACTTTTTAGGCAAAGTAGTAGCATCTGATCTATAAAAGAATCTGAAACTTTAGTATTATCACTAACACGATATAGCAAACCAGCTCCACAACTGTTTTATATTTAATGTGAAGAAAGTTTCCTCTTAAGCAAACAGAAAGAGAACCCTTTATCTCTCAACAACTTGCAATAAATACTTTATAATCTGGACCACTTGACCATCTTCATTTAGCTGTGCGCCACTGAAATGTCTGGATTAAAAACAATATTCAATCAATAACATTATTCTGGATTTGTTACGTCAGATGTAACTAAATACAAAATAAATAGACTAATACTGGGAAAAAGAGGGTTGATGACGAGAAATAGCATTTATGAAAGTAGAATGAACAAAAATATACATTTAAGTTTATTGTTGTCTTTTGTCTGAATTTGTATTGTTAATGAATGAAGGAAAACCAAAAATCAGGTCTTCAAATTGTAAAAGAATTGCCTTATTATTATTAAAATAATTCTTGTTTGTAAACTGACTGTTCACATCCACTACTAATATACTGTTTTTTTTTTTAGTTCAAAATCATTATAAATTCCGGGTTACAATTGATCCAAATCAAAATTCAGGTAATGATAAAAAATGTTGTACATGACGTGAAGGTAAATTCATTGCAAACATGCAGTAGATACTTGTAGCTTCTAATCCCAGCTCATATTTCAGACCACTGCACAAACCCAGGCCATGTCCACTTGCACTTTGTGACACGAGGAGACGATTGGCACGTTCAAATCTTTACCTTTCCATCAGTGTTCCCCGGCAACAGAAATAAAATCACTTTCCTTGTCTAATGCTAAAGTTAGCGTTGTCCTTATCTCCAAACACAGCCCACCTGACTGTTGGAGCCCTATCTGCGTCCTCTGAGCACCTGCTGCCTGTCACTGATAGACTCTGAATCCCAGTTTATGGTTCCACTCTGTGCCGAGGAAATCCACTCCCAGTGACAAATGTCCAGAGAAGTGCTAACTGCAGACCAAACGCACTCAAGATGACAGATTGTATTTTTACATTGATCTATTGCTCTGGTGATGCAGTCGATAGAAGATGAAGTTTCAGCTTCGAAATTAATGTGACCAAAACTTGTTTAAATCTGGGGTACGTAACTTTTTTCTCCCTAAATAATACATTGTGTTTTACAAAGCAGACCACAGGATGCTATCTACATTGTATTATGAAACATGTTATGGTTTGCAAACTAAGAATACATAAGAAAGAGCCCTACGAGTTGTTTTAGGCTGAGAGCTGATTGGCTGAGTCAGGGTGGTCCTCTCATCACTTTTCTGAATGAAAAAGATGTGACAGAGGACACAAAATACATGATGTGTGAAGCGAGGAACGAGTTACGCACATAGATTATATTACAACCAGTGGCAGTAAAAACTATTTTTGTGGCTTGAATGTTAGATAATCTGGCTTTAAATATATATATATTTAATAATATTATTTGGTGATGCCTGCTTATGGACATAATTTCCATCATATAATGATAATAAAGAATAACTCAATATTCAGCATGTGCCCAAATATTGTACTGTACCATGAGAGTGGGTGTTAAAACCAAAAATTTAAATTTGTTCTCAGATTTTGTGGTTAGGTTCAGCGCTATATGATCGGTTAGGGCTAGGGTTAGGGATCAGGTTAGGGTTAACCCTAACACTCGGCTCCATATTCTCGCTAAAATTGCCTGTTTGAGTGAGCTCTAATCTGTCTCTTACGCATTAACGCAACATGATGGACATCAGCACTCGGCCAGTCCACACCGTCTATGATCTTTCGTTGTCGTTATTTGTAATGTTCTGTCTAGTCTTTGTCATCTTTTTTATTTTTAAAGAGTTTGTAAAAATTCTCTTAGTATTGAAAGCATATACTTAAAGTTGTGGCCTTTCTCCTCCACTTCCTGCTGTACATCTTTCTATTATTATGTTAGTGCCTTTTCACACAACAGCTCTTCTACCTCTATAAACTCAAGCTGATTTCTTGTTCCACCTCTGCTCTCTGGAGATGGGTCCAGCTGGTCGAACATGAGTCAAAACACCATTTCACATTCACTTCATTCTTTCCCTGTGTCATCATCGTCCTGGTTTGACTCAGCAGACAGCCGCAGCCTGTCGAATACGGACTTCCCCTGTGCTGCTCTCAGCAAAGTTTGAAGCTTATGCAGACAATTTCAACCTGTGGAATAAATATACAATACTGTCAAGAGCAGGCTGCTATTTGTCTCCCATAATCACTAGCTGCCAGATGGAAATGTATTATTCATTCACAATACTGACCAAATTGGAGTTCTTTCACCGAGGTTTGTTCTAAATGTGGATATATGATCTTCAGCTAGCCACTGCACAATTTAGTGCAACTTTCCATTCACATCTTCCCTCTCTGCAAAAAGGGTCTGGATTTAAGTGGTGCAGGGCCGTTCTGTGTCTGCGTAGGTTTTCTCCGGGTGCTCCAGTTTCCCCTAGCACTGAGAAATATGGAGCCTGGAAAAGAGAATCATACTGGTGCAAAACTGGTTGAATAAATGTAAATAAAGAAAACAAAAACAGCTCTGCAAAAAGTGATAAAAAATAAGTTAAACAACGGTCGTATTTCTCAAAATGTATCTAATTTCATTTGACATAAAGGCAATACAAGGTATTTGTATAGCACAATAGGAAACTCAAAGTTCAGAATAAAACAAGAAAGAAACAATCTCACAAGAACAAGAGCTCTGGTACACACTGGGGTAGTCTTGCACAGTTTTTCCAATGTGGTTTTACTGCAAATGGCAAATAAAAGTGGCTTTGTCTCATCGTCAAATCTTGTTTTTAGGCAGTGCTCAAATTAAGATTTAAACCACTAGATTACTTCATATTTGACTTTTTTTTTATGGACCATAGACTACCTTCATAAGCCTACATCATTCAGCAGATTTGCATGCCATTTGCAGGAAGTAAACATGCCACCGTGTCTAGCAGTGCTGATAGCTGTACAACCCTTTTGGCACAACAATAAAACGCGTCAGTTTTTAGTCCACCACACACCAGTCAGAAACACACAGGGGGCATTTAGATGTATCCCATTCACCGATGTTCATTTTACGGCATAACACACTAGCTCGCTTTTTACCTGTTGTGTGCCAAAAACATCGCTAGCTAACAATATGGCTAAATAACCGCCGCCAATCAAATCTATAACACCTGGACATAGATGCGCATCTGGCTTTGTTCAACAACAGTAAAGTCAACAACACCTCGGCTACCAAGATATTCTCGATACCGTTGACAAAGCAAATTCATGGAGTTAGAATTTATTTTACCCAAATTAGAGCACCTACTGTATGTATTCAATATAAGACTTCTTGGGATAAATTGTACATTGAGAAGTGTAAGCTAAATAGTATACCAAGAATCGGACTCCATTTAATTGCTTGAAAAGGATGAGGTTCATGGACTTCCAGCATGGCAACAGTAGCTGGCTTCGGTGGATTGCAGCTGGTTGATGATTTGCCAGGTTGAGGTCAGCAGTAATGTTCCATTGTATCGTGCCTTTGAGATTGTGCGTGTGTGAATAATGATTTCTCTGCAGTGGAAACAGGCAGCTGGACCAGGTCACGCTTTGGGACAGACCGCGGGACACTGCACCGTTTCCTGGAAATGGCCGAGAGGCACAGAAGCAGGCGTCGGACAGGACGCCATAAACAAGACAGAAGCAGCAATGGAAATCTCCACTGGAAAACACACAGGTTTAGTATACATGGGTTAATGAAGTGATCTTTGCACAGAGGCATTTTGGAATACATGCTGTGATGTGTTTTTAAATTAGCATTTGCGAGATAAACATAGTTTGTGCATGTATAAAGTTTAAGGTTAAGGTGCACATTATTCTCACCGTAGGGATATTTGTCCTCTGCATTTGACCCTTTCCTTATTGCCACTTGGGAAACATGCCTGGAGCAGGTGCAGTGGTCAGCCGCCAGACATAGATGAACAATGCTAACCTGCTAGCTCTATGTAGCCTTATAGGGAAGTGCTCAAGGACAAAGTTTATCTCCAACTCACTTTTGCTATATTCACTTAAATAGAAAAGTAACTCCTCTAGTTCTGTAACCGTTTGTATCACACTGACTATTTTGGGCTTAAAGACAACTTTTTACAGTCTGTTTTTACTTTGATCATCTTTGTAAAGCCGATGTACGAACTACAGACCAATCAGGTACCTTCTTTACCCAAATTTGTTTAGGTCCTTAGTACCCCCCCATAAATTTGGCTCCGTACAGTCTGTTTGAGCTCTCACCGGCTTCTTCCACAATCTATGGATAAACATCAGACCATCCATCCATCCATCCATCCATTTTCTACCCTTTAATCCATTTCTGGGTCAGGGGGGTGGCAATCAGAGATGCCACCCAAGTCTCATAGCACCAGCCCCTCACTGACCCTCTGCAGGTGGTGAGTCCACAGGAGGACGGCTGCTCTCTGAGTGTGAGCGTAGCTCACAATGTCAATGTCTCAATGTCTGATAAACATCAGACATTCAATTTAATTCATTGTACTTCATAATAATATTGAATCGACCTGAACCGGGTTCAAATCATTTTCATTTGTGAGTGACATTTCATAATTTTAAAACGTCTTGCCCAAGGACACAGCCATATTCTATTCTATTATCCTTTACTTAAATCCAGAGAAAGAGAATGCTCATAGTTAGCCCAGATTGAGGCATTTCACTTTTAATACGGCCTAATAAGCTTGGCGTTTGGACAATAGGATAAGTTCAATTTCAAGTGGTCTATTTTGAAACACAAACGTAGTCACACCTGCCCCTGGGTCACTCTGCCAACTCTCAGAGAACACGTCGCTAACACCACCACTTAGCCTTATTAGCTTTTCGCTCTCAGCTGCACTTTGATGTCTCACTGCCTCTTTGCATTAGAAATTCATCCCAAGTTTCAATCCTAAATTTGTTTTCCCTGTGTCAAATCTTATCTGAAGGTTTTGGCAACAAACACACGCCTCTCCCTCTTTCTTGGAGCAATGCATCATCCCTTCAGAAGCTCAACGTGCTGCCAGGCGAGTAAGTATTTGGCCGCGAGCGATCAAGGCAAAAAAAATAATAAAGAAGTCTCTCTTGCACAGTGAAATAAGCAAAGACACAACATTAATTATTCATTCTGTGCTACGGCCCAGCTCCTGATTATGGCTGGAGGAGCTCTTTCACAGAGGCAGTGGAGTATATAGTTATGATATGAGTGTTGCCAAAAGTATAGAGCTGTGTGAAGTTGGAGTCACCCATCGGGCATCGCTGCAAATAGTAATAATTCATATGGAGGGATTTGATCTCATAACAGCAGCCACACCTGAAGCCAAGGCAACGAAATGAGATGGCTGCAGACAATCTGTTGAGACTCAACATGGGCAGGTATGGTTTGGACTTGGATGTATGGTTTTCTGTTGTTTCGTGTGAGATTTTTGTGTGTTTTTTTGCCAGCTCAACCTAATTTGGATCCAAAATGGGTCATAGCGAGCTTATGAGTTTTATGAGCTTTCGCACACCAAGACAAAGATTAGCGATTTGATCTCCATTATAATCAGTTTATTTCTTTGTTGTCTCCTTAGGGAAAACACTCCATCTATCTCTATGTAATGTGTTGTGAGGGGAGGTGGTTGTTGGAGAGGCCAATGAGGCAGTGATTAAATTTGGTAAATCATGAATGCTTCAAAAAGTGCCACAATGGACGGAAATTATTTGAGTTATAGGAAGTTACTTTACTGTCTCTGCATTTGACCCATCCTGCAATGACACTAGAGCCTCTATCGAGAGCATGGTCACACAATACAGCGCCCGGCGACCTAGCTCCTGATGTTGATGCTAGGCTTGGTCATGACACCAGGAGCTTGAGGATTTTACCTATTGTACATGTTTTTTGTGGTAGGGGAAACCGGAGCACCCGGAGGAAACCTTCACAGACACAGGGAGAATTTGAAACTCCACTCCGCTCAGAAAAGCTCTGTTGTAACCAGGATTTGAACATTCTTGCTGAGAAGTGAGAATGCTAACTCGAAGCATACGTTTGTGTAAGCTCTCAGTCGTACAGAGATTTGTCAAAGCAAAGGAAGGTTTCTCACCCATCATCTGTACTTTTTAGCAGATTCTCCCAACATTTCATACTTAATCCAAAGAACATTTTCATGGGCTTGAAAGGACGAAACGTTGGGAAAAGCTGCTGAGAAGTATAGATGATTGGTGAGAAACCTTCCTTTGCTCTAACCCTAAGCAATAAAACAGCATACATTAATTGGGTACAAGTGTTGATGAATGAAAAAACAGTGGGATAAGTGTAAAAAATTATGATATTTGATATTAAAGCCATAGTATTAGTATTAGATTTAGACCAATATAAAGGAATTTTTCTTTTGGTTGTTTCCATGAGAGTAAAGAAAGACAATGGTCAACCTGTCAGTGGACTTGCAACTTCCCAAACCTGACCTCGTACTTGGTGGAGGCCTCATCCTGCTTCTGTTTGCGAATGTGACTTTCCAGCACATTCACAAAGGTATCTTGATACATAGTCTGACTGACATCATAATCCACATTCTATTCATGTCCTCAGACTGTTATTAAGACATGACCAGCCATCATTCCATGTGAAGTATGTTAATCACTTCTAACTGTATAATTACTGCATGTATGCACATTTCCTGTTGCTAATTTGAAAAACTCGGCACAGCGACCTGCCTGTGCTCTTGGTGCTTTGTGTCTCTCTGTATCTACAGTTTGATGCCTCGGAGGAAAGGCGTTGGTCCCTGTGCTTTGATTACAGGTTGATTTCTCAGACTCTGACAAAAATGCTGTCTCGCTTCCAAAATCAACAGCCTCAAACGCCACGTGGGACAGGCTTTGAATGACTAACACAACAGAATTTTACCTTTGGGACTTTTTACAGGCCAGCCCTTTACAATCATCTCTGTTTTGTTCCTGCATGTTATAAAAATACCATTGTAGGCGAGTCACTATTACGACAGAAAGTGAACTTGTCCAAATGTAGCTTTCACACAGGCGGAATCACTTGTGCTGGAGCCAAAAGGATGGGGGTGATTGAATTATCAAAGACTCGAGCATCTGGCCAACACAACACCTACCCCAGGCGGGTAATAAGCTTATCTTCCTCCCTTGATGAATAAACAACATTGCAGTAAACAAATTGTAATATTTCCCTTTCACCTTTCCCAGAGGTTTTTGAGACAAGATGGTGAAGAAGAGGTATGGTTTACTAAACGGGAAATATTGTGCTCATACCTACAGTATATATGTATATACAGGTATATTGCACTTGAAACTGACAAGATCCACCAAACAGGAATCGCCAAAGAGATCATCTTCTTGAAAAGCACCTCATAAAGCCTGTATACTTTTACTGGACAAAGTATTTTTATTCATTCAGAAGTAAAAGACAGACCTTTTAAAAGATCAATCAAATAAAATCTAATTGATCAGTTTGTGATTTTGGGTGACACATTGTGATTTTAATTTGTTGTGGAAGACTGAAGTAAAATGGCTCATTCTAATTGGAAACGAACCAACGGAAATGTTATTATAAAAGTGGGTCATTCTGGTCTCTTCCAATGTCAGCGTTTCAAACAGGTTGTTTTGACACAGAGCTTCATGGAGCCTCCCACACAGACAAACAGCTCTGGATGAGGTGACTTGAATAACTATCGGCTTTAACGCAGGGACAGATGGAGGGAAGGGGAAGCCTCTGACAAGACAAACGCACACACACACAGATCCTCTCTGAGACAATCCGCAATGACACTTGTCCAGGACACAAAAGCAGACAAGCAACCGCTGTCAAGTGTTTCATGCTGCCTACATATGGCATCATAGAAAGCTCAACATTATAGTAATCCAAGTATATTTTCACATTCACTTATATAGAGAATGAGTTATGAAACCACATTACCCGGGTTTTATGGTTGTATTCAATGATACCTCTTAGAGCAGATATTCTTTAACTTAGTGGTGCTCGCAATTGGCCGATTTGATGCCTGAAGCTTTTTATGAAACACTTAAAAATATGTTTATTCTGTGTCTAGTGGCCAAGTAAGGACCAGTTTACACAGAGTTTAGAGTCATATACAAGAGAATAGGAACGGTTTGTTTGTGTTAATTACTCTTTATGATCAAAGTTATATTGTGTATAACTTTAGCGCTACTACATTGTCTTTTTTATAATTAGATAATAGTGTTTTTGTTTCCAAGATCCAAAGTGTGCGTCTAGGCATGTACAGTTAAGATAGTGGGGACATTTCAATTCAATTCATTTCTAAATTTCAATTCAAGTTTGAAGGCAGGATTGCATATGACAGTGATCGCACATTGTCTACAAATGTCTAATTATGGGCACGTAAATGTGATTACGTTAGAAATAAATCTTATCTTTGTGTACAACAGAGAACCTTGTTGAGTTTGAACTTATAGAATAAATAGTCTCTCTTCTTTTCTTTCTTGTTGATCACTTTTTACAAAACACGATTGATTTCCGTACTCTTTCACCCGACTAATGAGACACAGAGATCCTGCCGAACCAGCGCTCTCACGTGAGACGCTAAAGGGCAGATTCTCCGACTGAGAGTGACGAGAGGAGTAAATACTTTGGATGAAGATGAAAGGAGCCATCGACAGGAAACTACGAGTTATGCAAAACACACACATACGATTCTTTTGAACGCTCTGGCAACTTCTCCGTTTGAACTTGAACTAAGATCACTTCAATCAAGTTGTTGATTTCAGAGCATGTGCAACACAAATACACAATACACATTTGTACATACATGTTCGGAATGGGGGGGTGAACGAAGGAGGCAAGATGGCGTTTCAACAGCAATGCTATTTCCAAGAACAATACAAAAACAATGGTAGAGAAGTAGAAAACACAAGACAAAATCATGTGGTTCAAAACACACACAGGCCCAAAAACTCTCTGAACCAACACCCCTGCCCCATTACCCCCTCTGAGCTGAAGTAATCGCTCTCTTTCTTCCACATAGTTCTTTTTGTATACATTATGGTTTAGTTTACTGACACATGGAAGCTCTCTGGACATGTGCCCTCACTTACACCATTAATGTATGTTATTATTTCAGTTTTTTTAAGTGATAAAAGCGTCTGCACTAAAAATTGTCAGTCAGTTTTTGGAATTTTCTGGGCCAAGCATTAGCATCTCCATGGAAACTCTCCTGAAATGTTACATGTACTGCGGATACTGCAAGTTCATGTTTTAACAGAGAAAACTTGTAATAGCCTGCTGAAACGCTGGGTTACGTCTTTGTGAAACTGTTATTTTCACTTCAGCTACCTGTCACTAATCACACTGATTTTACGCTGGTTTTCTTGTCATCATTCACCACAAGCTCCTATCACGGGTTTTGTTTTTTCTGTCTACCGTTGCATTAACAAAGAATGAAGTGTTACACATGGCGAGCTAGCCAGGAGTTCAACCTAGAATCTTCTGATGAGTGTTAGTTCTGACTCCTAGGGCTCTTTCTTACTCTTTCTTTCTTTCTTGTATGCAAAAGATAACAGGTTTTCTAATTACATGACGACAACCTGCTCTGGTTGGACTTGTTCACAACATTTTACTTTTACCAGACTCTCTCAATTGGGATAAACAACATGTGTTCTTCATGAAAAATGTGAGGTAGCCCCAGCTTTAAACTAAGATAATACAATTTTGAATGAGAATTGAATTTCTGATCTTTTGCACGGTAACTTGGCGAAAGAAACCAAGATGGATAATACAGGCAAAAGCTATTACAAGTTTGCAAACGTATAAACCACATAATAACTGCCACTGGTCTGCAAATCTCCGTTGGGGAAGCCCGTACATAGACATTTGGCCCTCACTCATGAGTCTTGCCCTGGCATTGGCTATTGTGACATTATTATGAGTACAGCATTTGTCATGTTGTGGTTTCCCCAAGCATTATCCCCCCTCCTCCCTCCGGCCGCTTCAACTCAGACCCAGATCCAAACCAGACCAGGGCAGTCAGGGGGGGCTAGCACATGATCTCCCTTTACCTCCACGTTGCACTTTCAGCTTGGGAGCCACACCACATGGAGTACTCAAATAACTGCTTTTCAACTGTTTTCAAAGTTCATTTTAAAATATGTCTGTTTTTATTATCTCTGACATGGTACAGGCAGGCATTGCTGAAGTCTAAAGATGTACTTGTGGGAATAGTAAATCTAAGTTGTAGTTGTTGTCATAGTAGATAATAGCATTAGTGCGTAATAGCCTTAATAGCATTAGCAGCAGTCTTTACACTAGGGTGGAGGTGGTTTTGAGTCAGCAGAAGTACTGTAGTGTGATACATTTACTTCTATCTAATCTATAATGGCCAAATGCAGATTTAAAATGGGAAACAAGCTTTTTGTCTTGATTCACTCAACATTTACAGACAGATTTTGTTAAGCATTTCCTTAATTTGTGTGTATGTCCCAACAAAGCTTGGGTAAACAACTTTCAATCATATACATATATTTTAATTATTTGTAATGAAAATCCATGTCACTCGTTCTTTGCTTCATACACTTTGGTTCTATCACTAGTTTTCACACGCATGTATTTTTGGCCTCATCTTTAGCTCAGCTTTTTCAGACAGAAATGGAGGAAATCACCCTCACTCAGTCGTTCTGTTGGGACAAAAAACAAAAAAAATGTACGAGAAAAAAGTTAGGTACCCCAGCTTTGAATTCATAATTACAGTAAAATATCCCAACACTTTATTGACACCAAAAATATAGCATATCTGAGATTAGATTCATTATTATTTGAAAGTACCAGCACTTAACATGTTTATAATGCTATCACTTCACGGCGGCGTGTTAGCTTGTTAGCACGGTGCAGACCTCCTGTCACATGGAGCAGTGCCATGTGGCTCTATTCTCAGCTCAGCCGCGTCGGTGCTGTGGCGTCATGTGGGGGAAAGGTGAGACTTAATGTTGACATGTTTTAAACCCTCTCACCTCCACATCGGCCCATCTGAGTCAGGGATGATCCGCTTTGATGGAACGCATAAGACATCATAATGAGCTACTCAGGGTGCGATTGTGCGAAAGGCTAAAGAAATGTGGTAAAAGGTATGTCTCACCTATCAAAAATGTAATTCGATTTTCTTTTTTTTATTAAGTTCATATGTTTGTATGGACTCCACTTCATATTATATATTTGTATATTATTATACGGCGCCTCACAGCAGCCGTAGAATACTCCATGGATTTTAATATAGTTTAAAAATGTTCTACCGGTCATTATTTTTTGATAATCGACCTCTCAAAACAATACTGACCGCTCCGCCCTGTCGGTACTTATTTTCCGACAATGACCTGCGTAACATTATCCCTTACATAATATATATCGCATATATGTATAGCACGTGGCTGAGCGGATAGCACTCTCTCCTCTCAGCAAGAGGTTTCGAGTGCTGGGTTCGAATTCCGGTCGGAACAAGGCCTTTCTGAGTGGAGTTTGCATGTTCTTCCCGTGTCTGCGTAGGTTTCCTCCGGGTACTCCGGTTTCCCCTACCACTAAAAATATGCTCCAGCTCCGGTAGTCCTGGCCAAGCCGAGCATCAACATCTGGAGATGGTTTCCTGGGCGCTGTACTGCGGCGACCACTGCTCCTGACGGAAGCCTTAGTGGCATCAGGATGGGTCAAATGCAGAGGACAATTTTCCCTTGGGGGACAATAAAGTGCACATTTACATTTACATTTATGTTACTGTCTGACATTTCCTGTTTTTCATGTGTTTTTATTCCTTGTGCTGCTCAAATGAATTGCCCCTGGTGGGATGAATAAAGTAGTCTCAATCTGAGTCTCCATCTGAACCTTTGATTGATTTTCTTTCCTTTGTGGCCTTTTAAAGCTGGGGTACTTAAGTTCAAACCCACAAACAATGGGACTTGGTAATAAAATCCATCTAACTATTGTTCCTGGCTCTAAAACAGCTTGGTTCTATCATGCTTTATATGCATGTTCCAAGTTTTCAAAGAGATGTAGTGTATTGTATTTTTGGCCAATTTGGAAAAATGAAAACGAGA